TACAGTATGTACTTATGATATATGTGTTAAAAAGAAGTCTTTTTTGACTATAGACAAAGGTAGTGCGATATTCCGGGGCGTGATTGGCCCAGGTCAATGAGGGTCTCTCTCTGCCCATGTGGGGGTCTCTCTCCTCCCATGTAAACACAGTGTTTTTGCTCTGCGTTCTCTTTAGCCGGAGCTGTGACCGGCATCAAACTGCTCTCATCATCTGCTCCGTCCACACATTAGTCATTTGTACCGAACCCCACACGGCCACAATAACACCAGATGTCACGTCAACAATTTAGTTGTGTCGTCACCACTGTTGCCCACAGTTAACCCTTTAACACTCCTTGTAGAAAGCAAGGTGATTTTTTCAAAATTGCCTAAATGTATCTTAAATTGAGCACATTTTGACAAGATTTGCCAATTGGACACAGCAAAAGGATCTTGTTTTAAAGAGATGCAAGAAATGTGTCCCTAGGAATGAGAAATTGAGAATGAGAAACAGTTCTTGAAATAACACTAAATGGCTTTGTCCCATTGACAAATCCTAAAATTAAGATTAATCCTAAAATTTAGATAAGAAACAGTTTTTTGAGTTTGTTGATTCAAGCAATTATTATGTTTTTTTGAAAAATCACTGAACCAAGTATCATTTTGCTTTCACTTCATAGTTGTCTGTTACTTGTGTGAATAACAAAATCTTATGTCTGTTTATTTTGCTGCTTTAAAAGTTAATAAAACAGAGAAAAACTTTGAGAGACACTTGATGAGTCAAGGAAATGAACCGTAGGGAACCACATTGCTCCCATTTACCAGACTCCCACCTGCACCGGTGTTGGATGACATGGTCCACGACTCCAGCTGTCTGTCGCATCAGCGGTCGGCAGGAGGCAGGTCCCACGTGCCTCACAATATTCCATCACTCTGAAACCAGTGATGGGAAAGTAACCTGTCGAGAAGTGCATTTGAACTCACTTTGATGGAAGAAATACTCAAACCGAATCTGGAGAGGAAATGGAGAGCTATAAAAATAAGCTAATAAAGACGTCTGTGATTGTGTCTGTCACACATTGGAAAGATTCTCTGAGGGCCGGGGTTTTACGGACATTGCTGCAGATTAGGCTGAAGCTACTTCTTTTTCCTCAAACTTAAAGGGCAAAGCTATAGCCTCTGCCCCTTTTGTAACCATTTCTGCCCAAATGTAGCAAAAGGGAGTCAATTAAGTGTTACTCCAAGCTGTATGAGCACTTACCCAACTCTTGACATCACCCACAACTAACTACAACACCTGCCTTGCGCGCTCTCTGAATGGTCGGTCGAAATTCAACCGATTGTAATCGCTAACACAGGGACCAGACCCAGACGTTACATGCAGTGAAATGATGATTGAACGGAGTGTACGGATGGATAAGGCCAGGCTACTGAGATAACAACTGTTGAACGCACTATGTATAAAGTCAGACTATGAGATATTGCTCACTGGTGCACTCTGGGTAGTCTTGCACAGTTTTTGCAATGTGGTTTTACTGCAAATGGCAAATACATTCTTGAACTTAAACTTGCTCCTGCTTAGATCCTTTTTTTCTTTTTAAAATGTTTTTTTTGCCCTCAATTCTGTGGCACTAGATTTCCAAAATCCTAAAACGTATTCTCAAGATGACGTTTGAGCCGAAACAAACCCAGATAAAACTTGATCTGTGTAGTTTGCTCCTGGTGCTGACTGTGAACTCACTCCCTCTGGTCCCTGTGAGCTCGGCCCTGGTGTGAAGCGCTCACACGTGAAGCAGTACTTGAGAAAATCACTTGAACGCAGCTGCAGGTGTTATGCATACATTTTACCCTGTTTGTTGTCTCTGCACATAATTGCGTTGGCGTAATCATCTTTACATAGTGTTTTTGTTGGTGAGCCTGCAGATCTATAGGAGAAAGGTCTATAGGAGAAAGGTCTACAGGAGAGAGGTCGAGATTGATTATTGTCTAGACCTCTAGGAGAAAGGTCTATAGGAGAAAGGTCTAAGAGTAAGGCCCAAAGAAGAAAGGTGGTCTATGTTTTTTGTCGACTAGGAGTCATAGGAGTGCAGTAGTCACCTCTGTCATTGTGTGGATTTGATTTATTTTGGTACTTTGTAAAATGACTTATCTTGTGGTTTTATTTTTATTTTTACTTCCTGTCCTGTTGCCCTGTGTTGATTGTCTGCCCCGCCCTGTGTTTCACCTGTGTCTCTCTGTGTCGATATGTACTGTACCTGTGCTCATCCCCATGTGTGGCTGGTTTCCTGTGTTTCGTTTGGACTTCTGAGTTTGTTTTACCTTGGACTTTTATTTATTCTTTCATTAAGTCCTATTATTTTGCCTTTCTGCATTATGGGTCCTTCCTTGTTTTTCACCGTCCTACAGCAAAGCCCCTTTTAACAGGTTCATCAAATCAAAATAAATATATAAAAAGCTGGAGTAACCAACTTTAAATCCACAACTGAGAGAAAAGTGCAAAAAGGACTCACTGGGCTCTTTCATACTAGGCTTTGTGAGTGAAGTGTCTTTCTTCAGTATGGAGTGGACCAATCAAGTGCTGACGTCACCCATAATGTTTTCCTAATGTGGGAGAGGCTGATTTGAGCTCTCTCCAACAGGCTATTTGTGCAAATGTGGAGCCAGAATTATCCAAACGTTATTGGTAGCATCGACCAAGCAACCAAGAGCCAATCAGGAGGGACGCCTAAAGCAGAATTCTGCAACAGAAGGCATCTGATTTTATAGATGTTTAAAGACATAATAATAAAAAGAGTGCTAAACCCATGCCCCTGTTTTCAAATATGTCTGCTCGTTCATGTCAATGGCCTCTGCTCATTGGTCGCTCAGGCTCATTGCACACATTTGTGGAAATTACAAGTTTTGGTCAGCTCTGGTTCTCCCCGTCATGTGCAGTCTGTGCAGTGGTTCTACTTCCTCAGGTGCAGAGGAACAGGTGAACCTTCTGACCAATTAGAGCGCAGCTAAGGAAGGCAACACTCACTCATGTAGATCTCTACTCCTGCCCAGAGACATGTGAGTGTTCCGACCAGTCAGAGCAGAGCTGATCAGAGCGAGACAAGAGCGAGTGGAGTTTGTTGCACACAAGTGTGGATTTATAGAAAACAGATGCATTTCAAAATAAAAAAGTTGAGGATGAGAAGGGACACTTAGGGTGTATTCAGACCAGAAAAGACCTTTAGTCCGCTTGCTTGGTCCGAGCCAAAAGCGGACCAAACATGTTTCTTGGTTCATATTCATACTGTACTTTTTTCAAGTTAACTTTTTTTATAAACATATCGACGCGTGTGACGATCGGCGCTCCTATTGGACAGCGAGAGCTCATGAGGAATAGATGCGGAAATGGAGGAAAATATCGAGTTGGGCTATATGTGCCTCTGCCCAAATTTCGAGGAGGCACAATGTCTCCTCATCGCTCCAGGTCTGCCCACGGCTCATTGTTGTTGTGTAGCATACGTTAGCAACTGTGACGCGTGGCTAATTCCTCACAGTTCCTGTCTACGGTGACTTGTTAAGGTCAAAAAATTTGAACGTATCCTGGAGTTGTGTCAGATCGACACCGGTTGTATTCAGACCTGAATCCACTCGTACCAGAATTAGTTCGGAAGCGGACCGAGACCACCTAAAAACATGGGTTTCGGTCCGGTTCTTTGGTCGGACCAGGATTTGTTTGTGTGTATTCACACCTGCATAAAAGGTCCGGATCAGAGTTCCAAACGAATCCTGGTCCGTTTAAAGTGGACCAAAAGCGCAGGTCTGAATCAGAATCAGAATGATTTTTATTGCCACGTAAGTAACAAACAAAAGTTACCACTTGGAAATTGTTTTGGCAGAGAGCGTGCCACTTCGCCATTTGCGGCGCTGAATACACCCCTTCCCCACATATTCCCACCTTTGTGAGCTGTAGTTTTGCTTAGCTGAGGACGAGCCGTTTTTGTTAACAATAAGGTCAATGGGGAACATCTCCTGTGCAGCCCATGTGGATTAAAGCTGCAACGTCTAAATGTGGCCCCTTGTTCATGCTCGAGTAATACCCTATCCACGGGTGTGCAACACAAAATGTTGCCCTATTGGACCATTGGAGTCGCACAACATTAAATGTTTTTCATAAGCGTTATACTGGAGGAAACACATGTTGTGAGTGTCTGTTGCTTCATCAGCCTGATATCAACATGAGTTGGCTGTTAATACATAATGAGCATTCATGATTTAATGTTTATGTTCCCTGCAGGGCATCCTGGGGAGAATGATGCACCATGTGACTGCTCTGTACGATGGCGTTAAAGTTCAGCTTCCATTTTCATTTTAATGTATTATGTTTTATTGCATGATCACATTATAGAGATGCAAAGACAATTAAAATCATTTGAAAAACAAAATGTGCAGAGTGCAAAGACCTCCCCATGGAAATATATTGCAGTTCTCTTCAATCCTCAAAAACACGATACAATACAATCTTCAGACAGAGTGAAACAAAACAGCAGCCTTTTGAACAAAGCTGGAAAAGTCTTTAAAACATTCATAAACAGTATAAAAGCATGCAGCAATAAAACACACAACAACACACTGCATCCGGGTCAGGGTTTTCTCGGTACATTTCTCTTCTATCGCAATACTGGAATGTGAGACCACTTAAGGGCAAAAACAATACCCAAACGAGCTTAGTTTCGAAATTTAAGATTATGATGAAAAGCACCTATAGAATTGAACCAAACGACACTAAAGGTAAAGAAGGCTGAGGATTGTTGACAAAGCATATACGATAGCATATACGTATGAACAAACAGTCCTTTAGTATTGTCCCCCCATTCATTTAAATAAGCAACAGATCAAAGTTGGTTGAGTGGACAGTATCAGGACAGATGGAAAGGGCCTTATGTGACCCCCCAGCCTGCAGTTTGCCCTGGTCTGCTGTAGCCTCTGTCGTATGGGCACAGGGGGTGAAGAGGGCCTTTCCCTCCTGAAACATGACCTCACGTGGACTAAACCTTTCTGTGATGAACTGAGCGCTCCATGTGTCGGTTCTGCAGCTGTAATTTGTCTTTCAAATCCTCTGCTGAGCGTGTGAGCAGGTCGCAGTGCGCTGCATGGAGCATTAAAGCCTGCGCATAAGCCTGAGAGGTGATGCATGCAGATCCATCTCCACCTCCTGCACCTCCAGGCTTATCCCTGAGCCCGGCCGAGGTGCACGCGCCCCTCTGTAGCCCGCTAATGACTTCCAGGGCTTTGGCGGAGGGAGGGGAGCGTGCCAAAAACAGCCACTGTAAAACACAGGCGCACACGGCCCCCCACTGATCTGGGAGCGTGTCTCTGCGGCGACAGAGACGTGAGGGAACAAAGGCTGCCAGGTTCACACAATGTCACAAAGACTGTCAATGTAACTGAGAAGCTCGCGGCGCACTCACACCACTGTAGCGCTTTAAAGCTCTGTTTATCCGCCGCTCTGAATCTGAGCCTGCTGTAGCACGTGCATTCTTAAAGGAGACATAACATCCTTCTGTCTATGGTGTGGTGTTCATGTCTGAGACCTGTCGCTCATCAGTATGTCTGCTACTTCTGATGTCACTATATTGATTTAAAAAAATAAAAAATATAAATCTGGTATGAATTGTGAGTGCATGGAAAATTACTCAAACAAGACTCAATCTAAATGAAATCATGTGAAAAAATGAACACTCATTGAAGCTCAACTTTATACATTCTAAAGTGCTTTGGGTGACCTTGGTCTGTAAAAATGCGCTACATGAAATAAAGAATATTTACTTACTTACTTAACATGTCCTCTCTCACTTTATGCATTTACTTACACAAACTTAGGACATTTATCTCAAGACATAAAATTGCTATAATGCAGGGGTGACAACACTTTTATCAAGGGGACCACTTAAGTTCACCAGATTTATCCAGGAACCAGAATGTGAATATGTTTTGGCTGGATTCAGTCTGTTCCAGTGGGGGCGGGTCCCGGCTCAAAAGTGGCCATAATGACGTGCGCTGACATGCTCGAAATACCACCCCGGGCCGATGGAGGTGGACCCAGAAGAAGAATTAGCCAATGCTAACATATAGCATTGGCAGACCTCTCGAAAACGTCTTTACAGGATGGACCAAAAGTTGGCTCTTGGCCCAAAGCTCCGTTCCACATGTGTGTCAATGCTGAGGGGGGTGAATTTTTTTGGTCCACTCTAGTTTACTCGCGGGGAATTTTTGAAGTCTCTCGTTCAAATGAATGGAGCTGCGCCAGCTGACGCATGCGCAGATAAGTTTTTTCACAATTTTCTTGTGGGCGGGACCACTCGCGGCCATTTTGGATTGCTCCAGTAGAGTACATTTTTTGGCCCATTAGTTAGAACGGCGGAGATAGGCGTGACTCTGTCCGTTAATATATACAGTCTATGGTCTGTTCTGAGCTTTACCACGAGGTCTGACTTCAAGTCCATATTGATTTCCATCTGAAATGAAAGCTGAAGGAGCCTGAATAACAAAGATTTACTTTCTCACCAGTTTTATGAGCGTTATGTACCATGTTGTGCCATATTTACAAACATCTCGGTTTAGTCAAACAAAGTTAGCTTCATAACGAAGTATAGCATGTGTGTTTGCGGAGCTGGAGTTGGCTGGATGATACTGTGAACATGTGTTTATGATCTGTTGTCGAGGCAGGTGGCCATATGAAATAACACTGACGGCCGTAAGCCGGACATGGGACTTGTTTGCTATTATGTACCATTATTTTAAGCTTGCTGAATGAAGTGTCTTTTGATTCATTGAATTGAATGATTGAACATGACAGTCACTAATGCTGCACATGAGCTGTGGCAGTGACTGATGGGAAACAGACAAAATAAATAAAAGATAATTACATTTCTGAAAGACAGTTGACCATGACTCACAGTACAGCTCCATGACAATAGTGGTGTTTTTACTTTTAATGTATGAACAGAAATTAAAGGACATGTGAAATATTTTACCCCTTATTGTGGTGTGTCCATTCTCATATCAGATACATTTTGCAAAATAATTTACTCTATGCACATAAATATCCAAATGGTGAATCCTGGTGCAGCTGTAGTGTGTCCCACAACTGCGGAGGCAGACAGGAGTGTGTGGAGAGGCCCCAAGTCAGTCTGGGCTCCTGCCCCTGCTCACACCAGAGACACAATTTGAAACATTTATAAAAAAAAGTAAAATCTAAAGTCTTTTTTGAGCTTATAAGCATGTTGCAATATTGTTCCCTACATAACAACCGTCTGTACAGAGCGGCACGAGGGCTGAGTGGATTCTTCTCAGCAAGAAGGTCCTTGTTTCGAAGGGTCTTTCTGAGTGGAGTTTGCATGTTCTACCTGTGTCTCCTCCGGTTTCCACCAGGTGCTCCGGTTTCCCCTGCCACTAAAAACATGTACAATAGGTAAAATCCTCCAGCTGTGGTCCTCATCAAGCCGAGCTTCAACATCTGGAGCGCTGAATCAACATTCCCGGGCGAAGCTGTGTTCAGACCGGATCATGCGTTGCGGCAAGCTTCAATGCAAAGTCAATGGTGACGTCGGTCCATGCGAGGAATTGCATGGACGTCTTGGCACGTTTATCCTGCACAGAAGAAGCCTTGCTGGGGCGCAGTAGAGGCGGTGGGTACAGTGGCTAGCGGGTACTAGCGGGTACTCGCTCCACACACGTGCAGTCACCAGGAAAAAACCATTGAAAACAACCAAAACATGAGCTAAACCAGGACAGTGTTTGTGAATATGTCTTCACCTTGAGTTGACATTCTACTGTGACTGTAAACAATTGATGTTAACATGTTCGCTGATATGGAAGTATCCACCTCTTCTGCCCTGCGTCTTTCCCCAAGCTGCAGCTGATACTCAGTGAACGTGTGTCCATACCTCCATCTACGCATGTCCATGCATCATCGGTGGTCTGGACACAGCTTTAGTGGCATCAGGATCAGATTTTATTTGACTCCTGATCAGGATCAAGAGTCAAATAAATGCACCTTTACTTTTACATTAGGGCTGTCAAAATTGTCACGTTAACGCACGTTAATTAAATTTTTTCATTAAACGCGTAAAAAAAAAAACGCATTGACGCATGTGCCGAATGACCCGCCCATGCATCCCATAATAACACTCAGAAGTGCTGCTCACAGGCTTCTCATTTTAATTAATTGTTAATACAACTTACTGTAGCTAATATCCTGTCTTCTATAGAAAGACAGAATGTTAATAATGTCAGTGCCATTTTAATTGGATTTAGTGTTAATAATAAACAAATACAGTACATATGTACACTATGTTGTCATTTATCTTTCCATTCAAACAGCCATTCATAGAAAAATATGGCATAATTTTGCAGATTGTTTGAAATGCAATTAGTTACGATTCATTAATTTTTAAGCTGTAATTAACTCGATCGTTTGTCAAAAATGTCAAATGATTAGATTGAAGAATAAACACTGTGTCTGTTCAAAGTGATATTTTCTGAAAGTTTGTATATTGTTGTAGATAGAACTGTTCTGTATCTTGCCTAACGCTAACCCTACGTGGAGGACAGCGATGGATAAATGTGGAATTTTGCACGATGGCCGTCACCGCTGCTTTTAAACGCTGGAGGCCAACAGGGCGAGCGATGCAGATCTTTAAAGACATATTTGATGAGCCCTCTGCATAAAATCAGCCTGATCTGAATACAATTATCACCCGGGGCATCCTAATTGCAATCACTTGGAAGAGTGAAAGCCAAACATGAGACAGGATCCAGTCATGTTTATCTTAAAGCTCTTTCTCCCGCTGACCCGAGGACTCACTGGCAAATAATGAAACCTAATTAGAAGTCTGGCTAATTGCAATCACTTAGGACAAGAGTGCCTGACATTTTCATTTCCCAGAACCAAATAATAATGTCTGAGAGAGAGGTTCATTCATTTTACTTTCAATTTGTTTGTTTTGAAAGAGACACACGATTCTAAATGGATGGCAAAGTCACATTCTGCGGTTTGTACCTGTCCTTTTACGGTGGCTACATCAAAAGCTAAAAAATAAACTCGGGAAAATTGAACACGATGCTGCTGAATGGCCAATGTCATCAGGTTTCAAACTCAGACTTGAAGACAAAGCAGATATATTGGGATCCTCGTAGTTGCATGTTAACTTCTGCTAAAGCAGGTCACTCTATTACTTATTTTCTTGTGTTAAAATGGCACAGATCGTTGTGATGTTAGTGGGATTTCACAGACCACGATCACCCAAAGCACTTTACAATTTGGAGTACCAATATTTTTCAATTTTTATTACATTCAGACATATTGTACAGGTTTTTAGCGGTAGGGGAAAACCGGAGCACCAAGAGGAAACCTAGGCAGTCATGGGGAGAATGTGGAAATTCCACAAAGAAAGGCCTTGAGTTGGAGCCTAAGGCAAATATTCCTTTGATGAATTAAATTGCCATACTTTTGCCCTGCTTCTGTCAGTGTGCCCCAGGGCAGCTGTGGCTACAGTAGTGGTTTATCACAACCGTGTACGGAGTGAAAGAATAATGACATGTGTAGCGTGTTTGTCCAATTTTTTGATTGTTTTCCTGATGGACCAAAACCAAGTAACAGACAATTATGAAGTGACGGCAATCAGATACAAGATTTAGTTTCTATTCTGAAAATCAAAATGTGAAGTGGGGTCTGTATAGGAGGATCTTGGAGTGACGTCGTTGTTTATAATTTTTCCGCTCCGGTCACAGCGCCGTGTAGCACTGCAGCATAGAAAGCTACCTGGATGCTACAGAGTTAGCTATTTTTAGACGTTTGGAGAGATGTTTTACTAAATCAAATGGTCCGTTCTTGTTGTGCAGTCGGTTGTACGGCCCGCTGGGGACAGATGAAGTTTTTTTCTAATTATTTCGGAAAAGAACAGCAAAAAACGGCCGCGGTAAAGTGGTTGCCCTTTTATGCTGTTACCTACTGAAAACGTAGAACGGGGGGATGAGGGGATAAAAATTCATAAACAAATTTAAGTTTTGCAACTACTTTCACTGCGCACTTGTTCACTCATTTATTCATTCATGAGTTATGATTAATATTAATCATTGCATTTTGGTTGCTCATCCCCACAGCTTCCTGTTCCACCTTTACCGTAAGTAACAGCAAACAGGGGCAACCCGCTTTTAATGTGTGGCAAAATGCCGGGCCACTTTACCGCGGTGAATTATTGTGATTATTATCACAAACCCTTCTTGAGTGAAGGCTCCCGGATGTTCTATGAAGAAAGAATATATGTCTCAGAGTCCCAGTCCCAGCAGATCGGTGCCGAAAGAGAGGTGAGTCTGACCAATGTTTCTTCTCGTCATCCCAGGTCTCATCTGGGCTTTGAATTTGTTCAGTTCTGTCTCATATACTTATTTTTAGCTTGTCTTTATATCCCCTCTGATCTTCTTGCCTTAAATTGCTTATATACAGTGCTATTCGCCCTCTGAGTCTTTTAAAAGTAGTGGTCGCATCCATGCTTCAGTATGGGCTGCTCTGTCTTCTTGCCACACAGAGAGGGGCGCATGCGCACGCGGGTGTAAACAAAGATCCTCCTATAAGTGAAGTCTCCTCCTCTGACCCTCTGACCTGGGACCTGTGATTTGTCCCTGGTGCTGCTCTGTGATTGGACGATAGCACAAATGTTGCCACAGAATGTTATTGCATTGTTCAACCCAGTCTGTCATGTAACTTTATTAGAGGCCAAACAAAGGAAAGCGAGAAGGAAATATGTTTTGACAAATGACTTCAAATGCAACCGCCCTCCACAACATGTTCCCTCCAGGACAAAAGAATTGCCCTTTCCTGCTCTAGATGTTTTTCAAATGAATTGACTGATTTTATTCATTTGAACAAAAATTATATATTCACAAATATTAAGGAGATACCTTTGTACATTGTTCCGTTGCCTACAGCGCTTATAGTATATACACACACATATACATACAACAACCAAGCAACAGTATTTGCCCTAGTTTCACAAAATTAACTCAAATAAGCCCAGAGGAAAGCTTCATGCAAAAATGAGATCGCAATACAGACTTGTGTGTTTCTGCTAGACAAGTTTGAGCCTTGTTTGAAATCTTTTTGAGAGAGAGGATTATTGCTCCTTCTCATCTATTGCTCCTGAGAAATAGCACAGCTCAGAATTGACTCCTGTGTAGATCTGGGAGAGTCTCACACTGGTTTCAACTAAATCTCATCTTTCACCTTTCGGCTTTGTCTCATCTGCTGCTCAAGTTGAACTGTTTAGGTCATGGGTCTCCAACCTATAGCTTGAGAGCTACCGGTAGCTCGCCACCCTCTTCAAAGTAGCTCCCTAAAAGATATTTATGAGTACATTTTTCAATAGCCTACTTTTGCACTATCACATTATTATATTGTTTTATGGGTCTAACACTACACAAACAAAATAATACATTTTGACCAGATTTGCCAATGAAACAAGCAATACATTTGCTATGTCTGTGCTTGACATACTGTATGTCTAAAGCTGGTTATTCTATTCCAATCGACTTATTATCAAGCGTGTAACCATTCATGATTTTAAGTGTGCTATTGTGTTTCTATATGTTTTAATGACCTGCACTATTTCTGTTTATAATGTAATGTTTGCAGCGGAACTTGTTGGCATTTTACACCTTAAGGACTACAGTTGGAAACTAGCTGCTTAGCTAATAAAGCTGATCAATGTACTGTCCCTATTCAAATACAACTAATACATTTTGTAGGCACCTTCTCCACAGACTTCCACTGATGACTGCTGTCGTTGTGTCCTTGGGCAAGACACTTAACCCCACTTTGCCCAAAAGCCCCCACTGAAAGATCAAGGCTATGCTCACACTCAGAGAGCAGCTGTCCTCCTGTGGACTCACCACCTGCAGAGGGTCAGTGA